TGGAGGATTGGGTCTCCCAAATTTAAAATTGTATTATAATGCAAATCAATTGAAATATATTATAGATGGAATTACAGAGAAGAGGGAATAGACTGGTGAGAGCTGGAAACAATGGAAATAGAGAAAAAAGTGGAAAATATATATTTTTAAGGATTTTACCATGAAAGAAATGAAAGAAATAGAAAACCCCTTTCTAAAGAATATATTAGAGATTTGGAAAAAAAACATAAAGAAAAATTAATGCCTGTAGTATTAATCCCAGTAGTAATGTTGGAAAATTTTCCAATAAATTTAGGGGAATTAGGGAAAGAGTTAAGGAAACAAGAAGTATATAGGATAAAAGATAATAAAGGATAAAGGAAAAATAGAGGAGCAATGCAAAGTTCAAAAATAACCTGGTTTAATTGTATTCAATTGGAACAATGGACAAAAAATTGGAATAGGACAATTAGAGAATTTAGAGACTATACTAAATTTGACCAAATAATTAGGCAAAGAGATAGTATGGAGGAAAATGAAATTTTGAAAGGTATTACAAGTGAAATATATAAATTGTTATCAAACATAATGAGAAAGAAGAATATCTTAGGATAATATGGGAGTATGATTTGGTACAAAAGATAAATATTCAAGAATGGGGAAAAATTTGGAATCAATGTCATTAAAAAAAATATCTATATGGATAGAGGTGAATTATTATAAATTAATTTGGAGATGGTATTTAACACCAGTAAGGTTCAACCATATAAATAAGAATTATTCAAAGATATGTTGGAGGGATTGTCAAGAAATTGGTACTTATATTCATATGTGGTGGCATTGTAGATCTGTAAAGGAATTTTGGCAATTAGTATTTGAAGAGATAAGAGAGATAACAGAAATTGAGTTACAAACATGTCCAAAGATAGCATTGGAAGGTTCAGGGAGATTTGCAAATACAAGAATGGTATAAAGAAGTATGGCAAACAAAAATTAATGATACATGTGAAATTAAGGTAAGAAAAGGAATAATGAAGAAGAATGACTTTGAGGCAATATGGAAGATATTTGTACAAAAGGTTCTAGTAAAAAAGGAAAGTTGTTTACCTCCACAGGAAGAGTTACAATTTTGGAGGGTAGAATATCATGAAGATATTAGGCTCTGCTGATGGGGAGTACTTGATAATAAAGATAAGTTAATTAGTGATAAACTAATAGTATTATACTTTTGTGGAATTATGAATAGTATATGTTGAAAAGAAGATAGTAATAAGATTGAAAATAGTAATAACAATTTAATGTGTTTTTTAATTATTGGTTTAGTTAATATTAAATGATTTAATATGAATAAGATTTAGATAAGATAATTAAGAATTGATATTTAATATTATATGTGGAATACTTATACTATGTATAAGATATTTTTAAATATTACTTTAACTATGTTATATTATTAATAATAAAATATGTATATAAGAGTGTGCATGTGGCTAGTATGTTTATGTGTGTGAATATCCCATCACTCAAACAGAAGTGCTGACATCATTTCCTAGAGTGGTATTTGCCAGTAAAAGATAAAGGTAAAGGTATTTCCAATTGACAAGATTGCCAAGTCATATCTGGGGGTGGTGCTCATCTCCGTTACTAAGCCAAAGAGCCAGCATTGTCAAAGACTACTCTATGATCATGTGCCCAGCATGATTGCACAGAATGCTGTTTACCTTCCCATCAAAGTAGTACCTTTTATCTACTTGCTTTTGTGTGCTTTTGAATTGCTAGATTGGCAGAAGCTGGGACTAGTGACAGGAACTCAGTCCATCATGCAGCACCCGGGCCTTGAACTGCCAACCTGCTGATCTTGCAATCAACAGAATCAGTGTCTTAACCACTTGAGCCACTACATCCCATGGTGTTTGCCAATATTTTAAAGTAAATCAGGATTGTGAGGGTGGTAGGGAGGATGGTGTAAAATGAAAAATGTATTGTTGAATGAGCTCAAACTCTACCCCTATGGACTTTGTCTTAGAATAATAATAACAGCAGCATCAGAGCTCTTATGGACATGAGAACTATGGAGCAACAGATATGAAAAGGACACAAGTAAATCAACTGCATTTAATACTGCAGGTATTTTTCTCTGAGACTGAGTATGGTGTAGTGGTTTGAGTACTGGACTACAGCTTTGGAGATCAGGGTTCAATTCCCTGCTCAGTCATGGAAACCCACAGGGTGGCCTTGGGTGAGTCACACACACTCAGCCCCAGAAAATCCTATGATAATTTTGCCATAATTTGGAAATGACTTGAAGGCACACAACAAAAAATTTTGCTTTGAGCTCTTTACTCTAATACCCACCACCCCCTCTCTATTTTAACTGGTCTAAATTCCCACTCTTGTTCCTTAGTAGCTTACCAACTCCATTCTATTCCCTATCACTTGATCACTTTTACATCAGATCCTCTATGGTAGGTTGGATCCAGCACAGGATCCTTCATTTTGTACTCTAGGCTGAGAAAGTGACCAGACCAAAGTGAATCTGAGGAAAGTGAACCCAGATCTCTTCAGTCATAGTCCAATGTGGCAACCATGATGATACCATGTCTGATTTTTTTTTAATATTATGGTTCAAGCCATTTGTGTGAAGTTTAAACTCTTCTTAGGGGCATAGTAATGACAAGCCTTTGAATTAACCACTACCCTTCTGAGGGTCAGGGCTTTGCATCTGCCACTTAAATCCTTCTTCCCTGCCACTGGATTGCTCTGACCATATTTTGTGTTATCTTAAAGGGCATACTAGTTTTTTAGGTTTGCTATGTGAGTTTTGACATGGTCTAGAGTGTTAATATTTATGTTACTGAAATAATCAGCTGGATCTGATTGTCAAGAAAGCCAAATAAATTGATATAGGGATAAGTATTCCACTTGTTTTCTGAAGATGATAGCCTACACCTTTTAAACAGCTAATGAAGAAGTGATGTCAGTATGAGCTGAATGTGAATTATGCATCATATTTTTTTGTTAACATGAACAGATTGGGCAATGCTGGCTTTTATGTTCACAAGGGAGATAAATATTGTTGCAAAGCCATTAATCAAGTACTATGTGATGTCCATGCACAGAAGAAGCAAAGTAATGAATGCATTTGACAGTCTTTCATTGATAAATGAAAGGGTATTGCTTTTAGGTTATGCAAATATTGCTGGAAAACCACTGAAGGAATCAGACAAGGTTTGAAGGACTTAGATGCCATCTAGTGGATATAATACAAGAATATCACATCAAGGTCCAAAGAGAAAACCAAAAAATCTACTCAGGAGCATCAAGAGGAAAATGAATTTCTATCACTTGGTAAAATGGCTGATAGGTAATGCTGCCCAATTTGAGTTGTATTGATTTTTAAAAACCTAATCACCACTCATAATTAAGCTCCAGCTTTGCTGATAGAAAGATTGCCACATCTCTCTTTGTTTATTTTTTATTTTCCTTAAAAGGAACAAACATGTTTTGCTTCATGTTGGATGAAGATCATAGTGTTGAAAGGGGCCTCATGGGCCTTCAAGTCCAAGTTTTGGGTAGTTCTGCCTTTTCATTGCGATCTGTTAGCATTTTACCAACCTTACTGAACAGCAAATAACCCCCCCATCTCCTTGGACATTTTCTTGCCTCAAATGTATCTGAAATCTCCCTTTTTGTTGCTCCGTGTATACATCTGTACAAGTTCTTCTATGGACAAAGTGCTGCTAGATGGCCTAAAGTAGCATCTGTCATTAACAGTATTTAAACAGGGCTATCATATCATCTCTTAACCTTCTCTTCCCCAGGCTAAACATACCCAGCTCCCTAAGTTTCCCCTCAGAGGGCATGGTTTCCAGATCCTATGCTAATGGTAGATACTGGAGACAGAAGCCAAAGTTATCTTATTAAGTTCAATGGGGAGGGAAATCTAGTAGTGGTGTACTTCTGCTGGGGTAATTTAAGTATAACTGTAATTAAACAGGCTTATGAAGATAGTGAAGATAGAAGCCAGGATTCTCTTGGTGACTTGTGTTTGTGTAACAAAGGCATAAACAAGTGTAAGCTTTTTTTGTAACACTGTGCAGTGAGTCTTTCCAAGAAGGACTATGGCAGCTGAATAGTGACAGAATTATCAACAGCCGCTGATTGCCCATGGAAGCATTATAGGAAAACTTCTTTGCACCACCATCCATGTGTCCATTGGCACATTCCCCCAGCACAAGTACATCACTAGGTTCTCCACTGATCTTAATCAAGACAATCCTGGCCTCTGTCTCCACTATCTACCATTAGCATTCAGCCCAGGTGAAATGTTCCACTTAGATGTTTCTTTATCTTGTTTTTCCCATTCAGAAGGAGTGGGCTGTTTTTATCTGAAGTGTAGTATATCAACTAGAAGTTAACAAAAGATCAAAAGAGAAACTTGTTTGGGAAGAGAAACTTAAAAAAGTACTTTCTCGTTCATGGAAACTATTTCAAAAGTTCTCCATTAATTTTCAGCTTTGACATTATATTGCATATGCAAGTGGAATATTCATATGAAGGGGAATGGGAGGACTAGAAGACAAATCATAATGTAGAAGAACTGTGAAAGACTCCTGCTTCGGACTGCTAGAGAGATGAGCAGAGCTTACAGCAAGTTGTAAGATCATTGGGAGGTTGAGACTTGGAATTAGGTTCTCTTAGGTTTGTGTTCTTTAAAGTTTGAAGCAGCACATGAATTGTGCCTAGAACCCAGCTGAGAGCCCATGAGTTTTTTCCAATGTAGATTCTATATGCTAGGTATCCTTTAACATCTTTCATGTATGCCACAGTCTGGAAGTTACTAAACCATGAATGACAGTGGTAAAGTAAACATTTTTATTTTACATTTTATTTATGTAAAATACTGTCAATGACAGATGCTACTTTTGGCCCTAGTGAAGTTGACAAGGATACTGAGTACAAGAAATTAGGTCAGAGAAAGCTAAGGTTAAAGGAAGTTGTGGGAAGGGATTCTGTTGTTAATGCTACACTGAAACAACTCTTTCTAGGGGCTTCACATATTCCATGAAATCCAGCAAGAGTGCCTGGGATGATGAGGATGATAAGTTCCTGAAATTGTCCCCTTGGTAATGGAAGAATGCAGGATGAGAATGGTGCTTTATAACAGATCTCATTGTTGATAAAACTATTCCCAAATCAGACATGTGCAGAAGGGGAATCTGTTGTTGAAACTGCTCCAGGGCCCCCAGTCACATTAATCTGATCTTTTCCACACTTGCTAAAATATATTTCTGAGATTTAAGAAAGCATGGTGTAAACAGAGATTCAGTTTGTGTGGAAGGACTGTGTGATCCATTTGGTTTTATGATTCAAAATGATTTCCTGGCTCAGTGGATTAGATCCAAACATAACCATGCTAAACTAGACCCACTAATATCAAAATGACGAATTAATCATGAATACTGTGCATTCCATTGGGTGACAGAAAGTGGAGAGCCTCCATCCTCTATTGTTCCAATTCACAAGAAGAGTCTCTTCAGAGAGTAGGGCAGACCCATCACGCTGCAGACATAGGGAATGACATAAGCACATTGCACACTTTAGGCACTCATACAACATGCTTTTGAAATGCCTTAATAAGCCTATTAAGATAAATTCAGATAAGGCAAAAGTTGAATCCAACCTAACACTCTGTAACCTGCTCATGTTGCTATTATTATTATTATTATTATTATTATTATTATTAGGTATTAGGTATTAGGTGTTAGGCTCCAAACAGTGGGTCTCAGTGTTCTATGTACAAAGTGAGTTCAGATATTGACTTTGAAATGTATGTATGTATGTCACTCTTTGACTTTTCACTTTTGGGTACTTTTATAAACTCAAATTATTTAATCCTTTTGTATTTCAGCAGTCAATTTAAAACATGATTATTAATTTCTTCAAGGAACATCATGTTTCCTCTGTTTTGTAGATAAAGTAGTTGGAAGGAATCTATTGGGGCAGGATTCTGCCCTCCTTTGTCTCTGGCTTACATGTTGTTTCAAGGACAATGGGGTACTAATCTCTGTTAAGTCCTTTAGGTGCTACTGTGTTATCATTGCTAATAATTAATAGGAAAAGTTTGAGCTTAGATTAAGGTGAAATGAACCGAGTGTTCTAAGGAAAAATAAACAGAAGATTTAACCCTTCTTATACCCACATGTTTACTGTGAAAAATGGTATGCTAACCTATGCTAGATAATAACCTCCTCTGAATTTAGCCAGTTTTCACCATGGTAGGATCCTGTTCACCTTTATTGTAGGAAAAAAGACTCATACTCCAGGGCTAGAAAGATATGCACTTGCTATCCACCATCAAATGATCAGTGGATCTTATTACTTTAACTGCACATTAATATGCATTTTAGATGCATCAGCTTCATGCAGATAGTATTGGATATATGATTAGCTTATTCATGTTGAACCCAGTTTTTGGAAAAATGTGGGCTATAAATGGAATAATAATAATGGTCAGAATCTTCTATCATGGTCTATATTACATAACTTTACATATGCATAGCTATGTAGCAAATGCACTACGTGGAGATGCATAACAAGAAACTGGCAAGAGGGTCTCAATGCACACTAGGCTTGATTAGTGAGCACTGGCACTCCCTAGCTAATGTTCTGTTGCATAACAATTTCATCAAGTGATTTCAGCCTTCTTGGACATATAGTCTCTGACTTACAAGTAGTGGTTTCTGAATAAAACAAAAGAAAAAAAATCCAAGGAATGTTAGAAAGAGAGACTGCTTAATTGGGATCTGTTTACAAATTCCAGTTCATTAGCAGAGGCATGAACAGAGACAATGGTTTCTTGAAACTCTTCGTACCATAATGCATATGTTCTCATAATCAAGTGTGCAACAACAACAAAAACTCCTCAACAAAATTTCTGGTTTTAAGGGAACTGACTCTCAATGAGTAGATTTATTGCTTTGACCCCTTTGACAACCAGTCTGATAGATAAATATCACCTCTGTTTGAAGCTTTATGGCCAGTGTCACAAATTGTATCTTTCTGTATCCTATTATGCTCTGATCCTACTTCCACAAATACATGACTGCTAGATTCCTCCCCTTCCTTCCTTTTTCCTTTTTATGCTGCCACAGACTAACAAGACTATGGTATATCTTTGAAAACTGCTACACCAGTGGTTGTACTTTTTCCAGG